GCTTCCCTTAAACACAATTAAAACTAATGTTTAGTACAAGAGATATAGGGATGAGTTGAACGGCGGTCTCGGAGCGGATCCAAAGCGGACCCGAATGGGTGGTGTTTGGGAGGAATGGCATGAATGGGTGGCAAACCTGATCTGAGTTCCAACACGTGTCGTCTTTGCCATCGATTATGAATTGTTTGCCAAATTGTTTGACATCTTTATTGAGTACTGAACTCACTCTGAATCCAATCAAATGTATTATACATTGAATTACTTATTAATTGTTAACACATTTAACATTGTATTGCATTTCATACTTAATCTTAATCTCTTGCGAATCTATTAATGACATGACTGTTGACCGCAATCTTGTGTCACAACCGAATGGATGGATGAATGGTATGAATGGATCCAATGATCACTTATTATTGATCCAAATGCTAGACATCATTGATGGCTGAGTTGTTGTTGTCATTCAATACATAGACTTCCAGTAAATTGAATACACATTTGCTTATCATTTAGTGATAATTAACCCACAGTTTGATGACACCTATCATTGTCTATCACTTATCGGTTCCATCGCTCGTATTGTTGTGATCATCAGTAGTGGTAAGTAATGGTCCATTTGTTTGGTATGGAAGTGCATCTGGTCTTCATGTCTTCATCGCTATCTCTTGTCAATGATATTCTTGATGTCCAATGTGTTAATCACTTGCATCTGATTTGCCATTTATTGATAACTAATTGTCTTTTATTGGTTCACATTTAGAGAGAAAACATTTCTCATATAATTGTGTGTCAATTGAATCTGAACTATCACTGAATGGATCCGTCACTTACCGACAAATATTTAAGTCCTTTCGTATATTGGGGGCAAACGAGTGATCAAATCAGTCTTAAGATTGATCTCATGAATGTTAAGGTTTGTAATCCTATATATAATTTATAACAATTGAATGAGTGATTGATTGGCCGACTCTTTGTCACCCATTTTAGTGTCCATTAATTGATTTGAAGGAAAATAGTCTTCAATTCTTTGGATCGGGAATTGGGGCCAAAGGCCTGAATGAATACGCTTTTCTCATCCATTTCTACACTGATGTCAATCCAACGGTAATTCACTTTATATTCATTACAATTCATTAATTCATTTAATTTGTACTTAACTTTAGGAAAGTTTTTACAAACACAACGACAGACACATCGAGTTTGTCATTAAGAAAAGATGCAATGTGTTGTGGCCGAGACTGTTGTCATCAGTGGTGAGACCGCAATGGATTAAAGTGGACTTCGATCGCATCCAACCCGAAGAAGAGTCGGACCCAGACGTGAACTCCGCCGACAAAGAATTTGATGAATTGATTCCAAACCAACAGAATTCGTACCGAAATTTCGGTCAAAAAGATTTTGGTCGACGAAAGAAGTCTATGAATAAAGGATTCAAAGGTTTTTTAAAAATTTCTATTAGTTTTTAAAATATTATTTTGATTTTATTCGTGAAATTTTTATCATTGTTTTAGTCGAAGATTTCAAGAAAACATATCTTTTTCTCTACAATTTGTTTCAATTCGTTGGCTTTGTTTATGTGTTTCTTATAATTACCATTCG